TGTTGTCCGACCTGCATAAGTGTGCGAACGCTGAGGGCAGCCAGTTTGAATGGTGCACGTGGTTTCAGAAAAACTGCTTCAGTACTCATATTCAGTGGTAACATACTATTTTCAACCGGACAGTGACTCGAGAACGAATTTCCACCAAAGACGAGCCGCTGTATAATTCGGAAAATAAGGATACACGAAGTGGGAATAAAAGAGAGTGAATCAATGACGTAGTAAATAATAATAATAATAATAATAATAATAATAATAATAGGTTTGTATGTATCATTACCAAGGTTTGATTTGATAATTTCGAATAAATTGAGCATTGGGTAGATTGTTATAAATAAATAAATAATAATAAATGTGAATTTTCTGATTGTAAATCGAAGCGAGAATAGAACGTATCATGGCCAGCTGGGATATTTCGTAATTCAACGATTATTTTGTATGCTTCACTTTCTGTGATGTTCTTTGACCTGGTGTACGTAAAATGAAGACATTCTATTATCCATGGCCGCAGATCGTTCACGTGACTCTTCAGGCTTCCTGGTTCTGATGTTTTAGATGAGCTGGAGCATCATATGGAAGTTCTTACTCCAATCTCTATAAGGCATACTGTTCACTAAGTAATAATCTCATTACTTTGACTAAGTTTTTGGCCTAGAATGTTGTAATATCACTCTATCAACATATACCGTCGTACACTGGAATGGTGAAAGGAGCACTTCCTAATTACACCAAACAGATTAACAAATAGTACGGCTTTTAGGTTGTTTGTACACTTTTAAGTGCGAAATCTTTCTTTACAGAGTAGTTCGTACATATACACAGCTCAGTAATAAAAAGTGAAGTAACTGTGCGCTCCAATCGCTCCATTTATTCTGTTAACTATATATATATATATATATATATAAATCTAACAAATTACACTTCATGTAACATAGTATGTAGCATAAAACAAACTGTACTGCACCGTATTATATTATATTTAATGTATTTATTTATCGGTGTTTATGTGTTGCCATTATCGTATAAATAAATATGCATTTTTGTGTAATATGTATGACCTCATGAGGACATATATATATATATATATATATATATATACTTCAGTTCATTGTTTTTCCTCTCTCGCTCTCATCCTGTGCACATATATCAAATGTTTTGCCTGATTGATCTATATTTTGCATAATATTCGACCAGATCAGTTTAGTTCTGTTCAGTTCACCTCAGTTCATGTTTAAGTATGTAGACATTGCATTTTTTCCTACGTATTCTATTGATCTTCTAAGGTTTTTGTACACAAACTCATCCATCCACATCTTTCTACACGCTCATACATATGCTTGCAAAAACTTTTGGATGCGTACATTCAATGGATTACTATCAATAATATTGCTTGTATAAGCTTATGGAACAAACAATAATTTTTGATCTTTAATTTATAACTTTATTCCGCAATAGAACTCTTATTTTAGAAACAAGAATGTCTTGTTCATATTATAGTGTTGAAATTATCTATTCATTTGCTCTATTTATTTTATATTCTTTAATTTCGATACAGTATTGTCTATGAATAATAATTAGATGGAGTAGTAAGAATATATGTATTCAGTCTTGCATTATCTATAAAAGTATATCTGTTTATTGATAATAAGACATAGTTGATGTATCATTTGATCATTTTAGTAACATATTTGTTGATTGAACTGAACAATCCAAGTGAAAATACTAGGAATAATAACAAATATTAGATTAATTTTTCACATACGACTATCATTTAAGAAATACAATGTATTTCATTTAACACAGAAAGCTTTATTTTCACATTTGGATTCAGTGCCGTGCATCCTCTTGATATCTTCTTTCTGGTAATGGAAATTTATTTTTATGGCGTTTACTATGACCATAAAATTAGTTAATCAGTATTTATGGTAGCCAATCGTTTTACGTGAAACTCAACTGTATTCAATATAATAGTCATTTTTCGATGGTTCCATTTTTGTATTTTCTCAAGATGTCTACATTTCTCATTGTTATTTTTCTGAATAAACATAAAATTACCAAGTGTATATAGTTTCATTTTAACTAAATTCATTAATAGAACTGATATAAGAAATCATGATGCTATCATTCACGTACTATCTTCATATAACTATGTAGTAGGATAATATCTACTTACCATTTGAATGATAAGTTAGTAGCTACAGCATTCAGCTTTTGACTATTGATTCGAACAGTGACTTACTTATTTCGATCTGAACAGAGGTGACTAGTATTGTAGCGAACGAAAACTCAGGTACGGTAAACCAATTTATTGTTTTATGCAAAACCACACAGTGGATTTGTAAAATCTGAAAATTGTGCATTAAGTACATCATCTGTACATCTTCCTTAAGTTGTCATTTATATACTCCGTCATTCTTCTAATCCTGTTGTTATTCCGATTGCTCCCCGATTTCCATTTTATTCTCTTTATTTCAATCTTCTGCTGGTAAGCAAGCAATTCCATTCCAATTCCTTCTACGCACTACTTATGTCTGTCTGCATAACTAGCGCAAACTACAGTATCACTAATCCTTATGAGAAATGTTTGACTTCAAACCTCCTAGTACGTAAACGTATACTTGATTAGTAAGTTGCATTACTATTGAATTGTCTATTGTGTCCTTGACCTGGAAAATTACATTTGTACTGTTTGAGATGTAGCACTATCATTCAGTTCTAAAAACTATTACCATTGTTTTAGAAATGAATCAAAAGGTGTTATGATATGTACATGTATCACTTGTTTATGTAAAATAGTTTTTAATCTAAATTGTCGATTATTTGGATATCTGTTGGAGTGAATAGAAAGATAATCGACTTTAACATTGTGTCGGATAGAAATGACTTGTCGCTTAAGTTGCTAAGATAATTGCTGATCTATGTGGGATTTTTCATTCTGGTCGTATAGAGTTCAACCGGATTTTTTTTCGGTTTTCACATAATTCTTATTTTTCTAAGTGTGTCATAATAGCTTTTTCTTTGAGTTCATAAAGTTACATATTGTGTTTGTGTGTATTGGTATTTACGCAGTCAATATTTATAATCTGATAGATTTATGTGACTTTATACACACTTGTTCTTGAATTCCCACTATCTCAAGACCTGTAATTGCTTAACTTGTTTCCTATGGGCTTGCAAAGTTTTTAATCCATTTTTCATTACTATATTGTTAATCATATCACATTTCTATGTTTTAACAATTTTCCAATGTCATCAGGCTTCGCTGCTGCTGATTTTGAAATCGCAGCTTTTCAAAGTCAAACGAACATAATTTTTTTAGACCTCTTGATTTTGTTTTGTGTTACCTGTTCTCCTTTGGAGTTGCCGGCTGTAAAATTGACACTTAAAATCACATTGTGAAGATAACCCATCTTTTTCAGTCTTCAATAAAAGTGCGATATCTAGCATTTTTCGTTCAGCTAATGTGCCAATGCCTCATATAACAGTGTAGTTTTTGTTATGAACTTCGTTTTAATCAGCTTAAGCTGTCCACATATGTCTTCTATAAACACGCCACTGTAGCTCATTCCAACTTACCGGATGAAAAAAACAAAAAACAAATGAAATTTCCAGTGACAATTATGATCTCATATGCTACGTATACTCACTGAATGAACAAAAAAAAACTAGATATTGCACAAATTCACAGACATATCCTATCCTCATACCGATTTTTAAAAAAGTTTAAAAGGAAGACATTATTTAATAAAAGTGCTCCTTTCGTGATAAGCTATAGTATTATGTTATTGGTTAAAAAAATCCTGTTGTTTAAAAAACTTTGATTACACCGTTAGATGATAGTGGTTAACACTGAAATATAAGACTCCCATTTTATCTTATTAGGAAATTATCATTTGAATGTGCTTGTATCCCAGTGTTGATGTATACATTGGTACTTGACCCCTAGTTACTATCACTCTAAGCTTCAAAATACACTATCCACTAAGCCACTGAATCCCAAATACGATCGAACGTGGATTCTGGATCTCATTGCCAATCACTATTATAAACCTATAGTTACGATTACTATATCGAAGAGTTCGATAGTAGCCCATACTCCAATAAAGACCAACTCGAATTCAGTCTTCAATGCCAACAACTGGAAAACCCAAACCTTTACTGCTACTACTACTACTACTACTACTACTACTACTACTACTACTAATAATAATAATAATAATAATAATAATAATAATAATAATAGGAGAAAATACTGTCGAATAAGTTAGGTTGTTATTTATAGATAGAAGCATTTTGTTGTTTGTCTTATATAGGTCAATGAATAAATTTTGTTGATAGAACAACAACATCATGTAGATATACAAATTATTACTAAGGTATAATCCCGATATATATATATATAATATATATATATATATATATATATATATATATATATATATATATATATATAACCTAGTAATCGTTGACACCGTGTTGAATGTTTGGCAGTCAGGAGGAGGTTACCAGGTTTGTCCTAAAAATTTACTACCACTAAATAGTTATAATACTAATCAAGCGAATGCAAACAAATGAACCTTTAGTCGTGTATACATAAAAAAATAATAATTTTGAGTTCATTTTCTTTCTCTCTGTTGTATGATTCTTTTTATTCCTCTTTCTTATTGGTTTTGTGTTTTAATTAATAATTGTGCTCAGCAGCGTTGATGACCATTGGTGTTTATTGTCGTATAAATTTATGCGTAAGCACACATACGTGCATGTGTGTGATATATTGTTGATTACTATAATAATAATTATTAAAGCTATTAGGCTTTTTTAAACCTATGGTTGAGTCTGTTTTCATCATATATATATTGGATATTTGATAGCAGCGATGTCTATTTGTTTAATCCGTTGGATATTGTTTCTATCCTTTGTATTCTAATTCACCATTTTTTGTGTTTCTGATGGATTACTTGGTGTGATTACTAACTGGACTTATATCTTTTTATTACCAGCTTCCCGGTACTACTACTATTACCACTGCTACCACCACTACCACGAATACTACAACAACAGAAACATTGAAGTCAATGAGTTTATCATCTTCATCAGCATCATTGTTATCATGTTCTACTGGGATGCGTTCTTCTAATCCAGATTTTGTTGATTTGTCAAATTCAGATCCGAAACGTTTACGTTTATGCTTTACAGACATAAATAGTACTATTTTCGCGACTGCTGCTAATTCCACCACCACCACCACTACTACTATTACTCCTACTACTGCACATGTTGACATCAGTGTATGTAATGAAACAAGGGAGCTGAATAATTATCAACAATTTCCGTCTTATCTGTTAAATGATTCTTATGATCAATGTTCACACTATCAAGTTAATAATAACAATAATAATAGTCGAATCCAATCACATGTTAAAATCTCTTCTCCATTAATATCGATTCCATCATTAACAAAAGGTGTATCTTCAACATCATCTACAAGTGTTTGGTATCCATCATGCCTTGGAATTGTAAATTCTTCTGAACCATCTTTTGTCCCAACATCATCGGAACTACATGACTCGTCCGTAATGAATGAATGTTCTAGTTATCTTCAAATTATGGACGCAAATTATCATCCGTTATTAAAAGATACTCCCCGATCGACGTCAGTTTATTTAAATTCTAATCTTCCTACTTCGTCCTCATCGGTTATGCATCCTTCAAATCTTGTACTACAAAATGTCCATAATAGTCCTAGTCATGGTGATAGTTCTTGCAATAGCAACACATCTATTGTTTCTACTCCTGGTTCTGCAACTGTAAATACTACTTCTCCTGTCATTAACAACAACAGTGATAGTGCTTCACAATTGTCGTTACATACCGATAATCCTAGTCAATCTATTCCACCGTTTTGTCATAATTCTCAACAAAATTCTAAATTACATTTAGTTTATAATCAACCACATTCTAGTTTTTGTAGTCCAGTTGTTTGTAGTTTATCTGAATCATCTAGCTTGAATTTATGTGGAAATATGCTCAATACTACTACTAAATCTACAAGTAACCCTAGTAATTCATGTTTACCTTTTAATTTCGATAAAAACAATTCATCTTTTCTCAATGATAATGGTATTAATAATCATTTGTATTCACTAACCTCTTCTATCCATGATAGCCAGTATCATCAAAACATACGACAACAAATAAAAGCTCCACTTATTGTGCCTCCTTCACTTCTTCCTTCTCTCCCTTCTCTTCCTAACCATCCTTATCCCCAATTGACCAATGAGCATTTGATGAATGCTACCACATCACATACACAAATGATGATGAATTCCACCTCAATCAATCAATCAAATTCCACAGATTTTATCGAGACTGAATCAATAAAAACAGAGCGTGGTGAATCAGAAGGTAGAGGATCAAGTGAATCTGAAGTATCTGGTGATTATGGTGGTGTCAGAACTGGTGATAATTTAAGAAGTGCTAACAATCACAACAGTAATAATAATACCTATTCTACTGCTAGCAATACGAACAATGGAAGCTTTAGATTGATCAATAATGAATTATTAACAAATAAAAAATATGATTGTAACATTGATGAGATTCCAGATGATGATTATCTGACAGGTGATGATACTGATGGGGACGATTGTACAGATAGTACTCTTGATGATGAAGAAGATACTGATTACGATGAGGTGGACGAGTATGATGATGATGATGATGATACGGAAAATGATATTGATGATCCTGATAGGGATTTTGATGATGAAGAAGATAGAGAAGATGATGAACTCAGTGATGGTGGTTGTGGTGTTACTAGTATAGGAGGAGCATGTGGAAGAGATATCCTTGAGATGTCTGAAGGTACTGGTCATTCTAGTTTTACTTGTTCCACGTCATCTTACCATAAATCAGAATATGAAAGTGAATCAAATCATACTGGTGCTACTACTTCTCATCTTAATACTACTATTTCTTCTTCTACTACCACTAATACTACTGATAATAATGCAAATAAAGTTACTAACTATGGTAACAATAATGAGATTTTATTTAAAAATAATTCTACTACCCATGCAAATGACTTTAGATTCGGACAGATATTTACAACATCGATAGAACATGATTACAAAGTTGTGGAAGTTGTTCAAAAATTTATCCCTGTAAGTTTCAGTTTCGATTATTATTATTATTATTATTATTATTATTATTATTATTATTATTATTATTATTATTATTATTATTATTATTATTATTATTACTAAACATCATTTCGTGATTTCGATGGTTTCAAGTAGTATTAATGTTCGGTGATTGAAGGGAACTACTCGTAAACTAGTCGCCAAGACTTGTCTGCACTTTCGAGGGGATTGATACTTCCACTGAGATTCAAACTCATATCACAACAGTATTTGTATCACTATTCCATTCATCTATTGGGAAAATAGTCCAGTGAACTGGTCATATCTCTTCATATTTATATGTCCAACCCCATTGAATTCAGTCTGCTTAAATATAATTGTCTTAATTTTTATTGGATTGCTTTAGGCTCTAGGTCTTAGCAAATGATTTGTATTTATTAAAAGTACGAATAGTCAGTTACTCATGATTTTTTTACTGGACAAATTCTTTTTAGAACTGTGTGGTTTTTTTGTATCATTAAGGTCTATTAAGTGTTCAGTGATTTTTTACAAGTATTCCTAGAATTTACTGAAATTGTTGACTAGATAATGCCAGTCTCATGCACATAGTTTCTTACAAGATAGAACATTCGATCAAGGAGTATAGTTTAGTACACGAACGTTTTACGATCACATGTTGTAATCTGTGCTGATTAGACACACGAAATCCTTTTGTAAAAAGATGGTACAATCGTCCATCACAACTCCTGAGCTAAAGTGTATTTGTCACCTCCCAATTGCTAATGATTTCTCCAGAACTTCTTTGAACCTAATTTAACACTGAGAAGACTAGATGATTTGATTTTCTTGCCGTTTTCACTCACCTAAGAAGTTTTGTTAGTGTTAACTCCTGATCAAAATAATCTCCGATTATTCTAAGTGACCCCATTTCTTCGTATAGAAACGTCACATGTACTGTGAATTACACGTTCAAAGACTTATTACATAAGGTACTAAAAGTCAACATACTAAAATTCACAAATAAATCCAAATGACGAGTTCGAAATAACAAAAATACACCTGTTTTTCATTCCCAACTACTACTCAAAATGGATTTGTTCAATTTTCTCTTCCGAATTGCAAAGATTTCCATAACGTAATAAACTATTTAAAAGTGTATTACAATTCTTGTATCAATCAAATGTTTAGATATATTTTCTTTTCCTTTATGTAGAAATTAAAATGCAGTCTCTTTGAATTATGCTCATTTTTAAAATCCGAAAATCTCGAACTGACGAATAGCAGTACTACCACAATACTATCATCCTCTTCCTCTACGTCATTATCACGAAACGAAATAATCAGTGAACGCATCAATAAGGATCCTGTGTTAATGTTTAGAGAATCGTCTGTAGGAAATTTTTCAAATCCCATCTTGCCATTGTCACCATCATCACTTGTACATGAATCACAGCTGCATAATAATGATATTGATTCTCAGGTAAAATCAGTTAGTCATTTTGACTCGGCTGAATCCAGTGTGCCAATCTTTAAAAATAATAAAGCAAATTGTTTTCCAACACTTGGTACTTCTTCTCCTTCAACTGCTCAAATAAATGAAAATAGTACTACAATTATTAATCCCTATTTAGACGATTTATTGTCTTCCTTATGTTCATTATTAGAAACGTGTTTATTTTATTTGGTGGATTGGATGGCTCAAATTGAATCGTTTAAAGTATTACCGGTGAGTTGTGTTCATGTTATTGTTTTTGTTTTTTGTTGGTTTTTTCCATCCTATTACTATTACTTGTTTTTTGTTTTCCATATTGTTACCAACTAATATTTTTTACACCTAACATCACGAAATGGTCTTAGTTAAGTAATCATTGAGAACCAAGAAGCATCAGATAGCTGTTTCGTCCTAGCTTGAGACTTTTTAGCAGTAGGCATACACAAACCCGTCACTAGGAACCGAACCAAGGATCTTTGGTCGCCAGACCACTGAGCTCCGAATTCGATGGGTTGCATTCCTAACTTCAATCAATTTGTAATACTACGTGCAACCATCTTCCAATATACCTGGTGGGTAACTGTCTATTATATAAATCGAATTTTTTATTAGAAAAAGGTTGAGTGGGTATCACTGGTTAAGGAAATAACTTGTTTTAAAACTAAAATAAGGATAATAAAATGTAAATAATATTATCATAGTTATTTATAACCAATCTAGGACTTGGCATATATGTTCGCACTACATATTGATCAATCTGCCATACCCTGTCCGCACGATGTAATGAAATTAACAAGATGAATAACGAATTGGTTGCAATACTAATAGTGTTTTTGTTCGTTAGAAAAAGCCTAAATATGTAGTTTGAAGTTAGTTATTTAACGACGAGGATTGATAAGACTAAATAATATCGCAACTCAAGGTTTTGACACCAATGAAGAATGAACACATCTGCGCCACTGTAACTTATGTTTAGCTATGCCATCTGAGGTCTATGGCAATCGTTCACGATTATCATATGAATCTCAACCAGGAAGTCTACTTTTATCACGATTAATCAGTCTAACGGCCTCTGCTTTCTTGGACACGTACTAAGTTTTGGAATAACTACTCCCAATTTTCAACATGCTCCAGCCCACATTGTACATCAAAGTAGACAGTTGTTGCGGTCACGCGTAATGCATATCCCAGCCATTATGGTCAATGAAATACATAGCCTTATTAATTATCTGTCATCATTATATTGTACCTTTACATTTAATCGCCAGCATTGCTCACTAACGTGATACATTCAATAAAATTTTTATCATAGAAAAAGCAATACTTATTCGCATTTGTATTCTTGCATGGAATTTTCTCAATCTTCATTTAACAAATGTACGTATATATTAATTTTCACTATGGCTTTTTTCTACCTTACATTTGTGTGTTGAGAGAAATATCTATTGATAAAATATTATTACTATCATTAGCTTATTGAACTGTTTCATTCATGTACCTTCTTTCTTTTAGATAATTCTGTTTTTTATCATTATCTCGTACAATTACAAATTCATTTTCTCACCATCACCTCCCACCACTTATACCACTGTAACAATAATTATTGTTCCTATTGTTGTTTTAGTTGTCATTTTGTCATGACTACTTCAGTGCTTCTTATTTTGCATAATAAAAAGTAGCTCTCCTCCACAATTTGTTTATTTATCTCTTCCTCTGTTTAGAAAAGAACAAAATAACGCAACAATAACATAAACGACTTGCTTTTCAAACACTGTGGGTAATGTATTGTTATGTATGTTATGATAATAACTATTATTTTTGTTATTATCTGACAACAGTAATGGACAACCCAATCAATAACGTATTGTTATTATGCAATTATGCGATTTTTTCCATATCGGGAAATTTTTCCCACTTTAAAAAGGTGTATATGTGTGGTGATAAATCCAGTGGGATAAAACAAAAATAAAGAAATGGAAATAATGGTTAATAATAATAGTGATAATAATAAAGGATTAAATGCAGAAAAAGTTATTAAATAGGCATAAAGAATGAAGTACAATCTAGAAGAAAATACATTGATTCATTACTTGTAAATGAATATTAATCTTCAAGCCTATATCCTTATGTTTTCTGTGTGCTGCATGAGGTTTGATTATATGAAAATCACATTGTTATTCTGGCTAACCTCATCAACTTCCCCACTTCAAATAGAGAAAAAACAGTGAAATTCACACCATCAAATCATCTAGCTTAGAAAAAGCAACACTGCCTATCATTTGAATTCCAAATCTGCTCTGTCCTTTCAGTATATTTACTCCATTTTCGTAACTATCTACCAATTACAATTATCCGCATATTGGCAACAGGGAGTGGTGGTGGTTACAATATAAGTAACGTAGATGCTAGCATTAATTGGTTTTCAAATAAAGCTCATTAGTATAATTATTTGAGATACAACAAACTTAAGAGTATAAATTGTCTAACATTTCTTATTGATAAATGTGATAAATGCACAATGCATTGCTAATTTTTCCCAATGCAATATATTCCCAACGCATATATATCTGGTGCCCCCTTGTACCAATATTTATGTGTTCAAATAAATAAATAAATAATGCATTTATTGAGAGGAGAGAACTTAATTCAGCAAATTATTCAGTCCCTTACTTCACTTTATACTTGCAGGTTATTATCTTTGTTTATTGCTAAACATTTTTTATGTGGTAATAGCATCTTACATATTGTTATATTTGATCTTTTGCTTTAAGTAATATGGAAGTGACTTTTTTGTTATTGTTTCATCTTCAAGTTTCTTTGTTTATTTCACACTTATTTAAAAATTTTCTTTTTTTACTTATTGTCAAATACTTCAATGTTCAAGAAAAATATAAAATATACTTTGTCTAATTAGCCTTATTAAACGAAGTAATTGTAAAATCTACATTTATCAATCTTGACAATATCATCAGAATTGATTTTAGCAAGAATCGAACTTTAGACTGCAGTTCATGAGTAGCATCATCTAAAAGTTTACGTTGATTGAACTTGAACATAATTTGTTCTTAATAAACGACTTTTTTTCTACTCATGTCATATGAATAGGTTAAGTTGATAAGATGGTACTGATTTGTAAAATCGCATTATCTGGGCAAAGAACTCAATACATCTATCAGATGCACTGAAATGTCGGATTATATATGTAGCCCAACGTGAGATTTGACTAGTCTGTTCATTGTTTGGGGAAAAATAACTAATATTACATACTCTCATGGGTCACTAGGTTTTCTTGTGGTTTGTCAAAAGTTGTACTAGTTTTATGTGAATTGGTTAACTAGAAATATACCAGTAAGGCAGTAAATTGATGTCTAAATTCTAATTATTGTTACAAATACATTATCATAACTATCCTATGATCCTTTTGAAAACAGATAAGGACTTTAGTTGTTGTCCGTGTAAGTTTGGGTTTAGTTGTTTTTTTCTCAATCATGATGACGTGGGGTGTGGTGATTCGATCCTTCCTTTTCCA